CGATTCTGGGCAACGGGCGGCGTTCACCCTTACACGCACGCGCTGGGGTCGCCGCCAGTCGACACGACGCGAACCTGCCGTGGTTGAGGATATATTTACAGCTCGTGGCGGGCCCGTTGGAAACTTGACCACCGCTCCCTTTCAACGAGCATCCCTCCACTACTCGACCGCCCGCCAACCAGGCACTCCATCCCAAACATCAATACTAAGCGCACGCGGCGCAAACTATGGATCATGAGCGGGCGTTCCGCGATCTTGTTGTATCGGTTTTCGTCAAGGACGGTCGGGGTGGGAGGTCATGCTTGTCCGTTGTTCGCTCGCCCTCCATCAGCATCAAAAACGAGTTCCACCTCATTGTGGGTGCACGCTCCACACAGCAGGCTGACCATCACGTCCCCGCTTTGCAATAACTTGACCATGATAATAGAAGATGAAATAAAAGACGGTATAAACCTAAACTGTTGGCGCTATGTGTGGATTTCTTGAATCTGCGCCAGACCCCCCTCCCTGGCGCGCGGAGCGCGCCAAGGGCGGCGCCGATCTGAGAACTCAACGCAGAGCGCCAAAAGTTTATGGTATGCCGTGTTATGCTTCTACTATCCCGATCACGCCAATGCAAAGCTGCGACGTGATGGTCAGCCTGCCGTGCTCAGTGTGCACCCACAATGAGGTGAAGCTTGTGTTTGATAATTATGTGTATGTTGATGCCGTTTTCTCTTCGAGGAAAAGATCGCGTGCGTTTTCCGAGCAGGGGGACCGCCGACGAAGAGGCCTGCCATGCTTTGGGCGCAGTCGGCTCCACGAAGCACGAGATGCGCCGTGGCGGACGTGAAGCCCGTCGAACTTGTTGGCGGCCTGTGGCCAGTCGTGCGCATGGGCGTGCCACTAGGGTTAGGCCGGGCATGTCCTCCTGCAGGCGGATTTTGAAGAAAAACTGAAGGTAGCCCAAAATCGTTCCCTGACCTTGTTTCGAATGTTTTGAATACTCCTACTGTAGAGGGATGTGCTAGAACAAGACGGTCTAAGCCAGAAATGTTCTAAGAACAATTTGTGCAGACCACAGAAGGTTCTTAGAGCATTCTTTGGTGGGCCTGTAGGCAAGCCAAGACGCTTCGCCACTGCTCGAAAACGGCTCCACGAAGCACGAGATGTGCCGTGGCGGACGTGAAGCCCGTCAAGCTGTTTGGCGACCTGTGGCCAGTCGTGCGCATGGACGTGCCACTAGGGTTTGGTCGGGCACGTTCTCCTACATGCAGACGATGGAAGACAAATGAAAGTAGCCAAAAAAGACTCGAACACAGTCAGGGTCGAAACATCGTCACCGGCCTATTTTCAGTATGTTTGAATATTCATCCTGCAGAGGGACATGCCCGACTGAATTCCAGGGGCCGACAACAACGATGTTTAAAACGAAATGTCGCTTACAACGAACAACGAAACGAGGCCTAAAGTTCAAAACGGGTGTTTAAACGAAGCCGGTGCCAAGCGAAAACGAACGACGAACCAGGGCGTTCAAAACAACAACGAGCAACGAAACGAAACAGCAAAGAAAAACTACACAAAGAACGAAACGACTAACACAGCAAGGGTCCAAACCAAGTTGAACAGCGTCGTGGTCGTTCCTTGCTCAACAGCAGTGGCCCGCCCTGGGGCGTCGGCAGCCCCGCGACGGGGCCTGGCCTGATGGGCCTGTTTTCCACCACCACCACCACCACCACCACCGTGAGTTGGAGGGGGAGGGGGTCCTCCTCCTCCTCCTCCTCCACCTCCTGCTTCTCCTCATCGTCCTCCTCCTCCTCGTCCTCCACCTCCTTCCCCCTCCGACTTATGGAAGGAGGTGGAGGACGAGGAGGACGAGGAGAAGGAGGAGGTGGAGGAGGACCCCCTCCCCCTCCAACTCATGGTGGTGGTGGTGGAAGACACGCCCATCGTGGCCTCCGCCTCTTGGGAGCCCCCCGCGGTCCTGCGATCCCTGGTGAGCCGTTTTTTTATTCGGCGGGTGTTGCTAGAAGTGCCCCTGGCCCAAGGTGCCCCCAGCTTTTCGCTCCATTTTGGAGCCCCTGGGGCCCTCTGGGCCTCGTGAAAGGTGCTCTGGAGGCCGTCTGCGCCACTTCGAGAATGCTGAGGGTACCTTGGGCCAGGGGTACTTCTAGCAACACCCGAATTCGGCGCTTCGACAATGGGAGGAAGGGGGGGGGATAGGGGGGGGGTCTGGCTCCGGACCTCTGCTCAGTGCGACTGTTTGCAGCAGTGCGTCCATCATGGGGGAGGCTCCGCCTGCTCGAAACAGTCGCCCAAAACAGCCAAGATCTGCTTCAGTGGAGGGGGGAGGGGGGGTGCGAGGGCCCGCGCCGATAGGCAAAACAACGAATAAAAAACGACCACCTGCAGGATCTGTTCCCCCAGGCCTGTTTCGCTGTCTGTTTCACCCGCTCTGTTTTCTCGGACCTGTCTCTTCGGAGGCGGGCCGATCCAGCATCCAGCATCCCCGCCCCGCGCCGCTCCGCGACATCCTCTCTGGACGCCCAAGATGGGTACGAAGAAAATGGGTACGATGCCCAATAGCAAATGTGGTCAAAAACCGACAGCAGCCGCTGTTGGGCAGGCGGCTTTTGTCTCGAATGGACAACGGCCACGGCGAAGCCGACAGGATTCTGCTCCCAAACCCGGGTGAGTGCGCCCCTGGCCCTGCAGGATCCTGCAAGATCCAGCGCTCTGGCTGAACCCCGTTTGCACTGACCTCCGTCACTTGAGCCCCGAGAGAACATGTGACCCTCCACCAGCACAAACACCCCAAACCCTGAGCTCAGTCGAGGGTACCCTCCAACCCTGGGATCGGCGGCGAGCGGGGGGGGGGAAGCGAGAAAAGTGAAGGACCCCTCAGAAGGCGGCGGGACTCCTCAGGAGCCTTCGCACCTTCTCGAGAAGTCTTCTGTGCCTTCGGGGAAGGTTCAGACAACTTCTCAGAAGGCCGGGGGATTTCCGAGCCTTCCGACAACGCCCGCCCCTTCTCACCTCTCCCCCATCGACCGCCGCCGATCGGATGCACAAGAACATCCAACGCACGCACGAAGAACGTGAGGGTGCCCTCCCCGAACCGACCCCGCTCTTGCTGAGGGGCCCCAAACATGTACACTACCACCACCTCCCTCGCCCCCCCCTCTCCCAGGATGGAGGTGAGGAAGAGGCGGGTAGAGAAGGGAGGAATCGACGTGGTGGTGTATACATATCATTCGGGCCCGCACCTACACCTCGGTCAGACTGTGCCACGCACAAGCCACGAAAGAAGGGCAATCGGCCTGGGGGAGCCTCTCGGGTCCAGTCTCCGCCCCCTCTCGCGCACCCGGCACGCTGGGGTACGCGGCGCCTGGTGTGAGAGCCAGGGCGCGCATCGCGAGCGCTGGCGAAACTCCGCAGAGTGCTGAGTGCCTGCCCCGTACGCGTCACCTAGGCCCCGTGACGCATCCAGAGGCACGTCCAACGAAATCGCCGTTGGACTCCAGAGCGCGCGCGCGCGAGACGTGCCAGAGACAAAGCAGACCGAGCGGACGGCACGCCTCTCGCCGACGAATCTGTCGGCGCGCCCTGCCTGGACAGCGTGGAAGCATCCAAGACGCACTCTGAGAACGAGACCGCTGAGCTCCTCGCATCGCTGATGCCCTCTCTGGAAGCGGTCCGCGACGAGGAGACTGCACTGACTCTGCTCTCGAGTGAACATTGGGCACACGGCCTGCCGAGCCAGCGAACCGCCTCCCTCACCCCCCTTCCCACCTAAGCCCACTCTCCTTGCCCCCCTTCCTGGCATGTTTCCTGGCATGTGCAAGAACACACGCGCAGTGGTAGGTGCACAATACCAGTGTGCAAGCAGGCAGCCGCGATTACAGCTCGGATGGCAAGCAACCATCAAAAAATGCGAAGAGCCTTGATGACGATGCCCAGGTGGTTTGCTACCTGCCAATACACGCCCTCGTCATAATCCAGCAAGGCCTTGGCGTAATGCCAACAGAGGAACAATCGCGTTTCCCATCCACGCAATCTGCGATGGTGGCTCTCTCGAGCGTGACACGCGACGGCCGCAATCTGGAACCGGCAGTGCAGCCATGAGACGAGCGGCTGAGACGCACGGGCGCGAGCTGGGTGGTTGAAGGGAACAAGGCCGCGTGACCTCCCCGTCCATCCTCAGAGCGACCTGCGCCACATGCGTCGCGCCGCCCCCGGAACACGGCTCGGCAAAACCGAAGCGCACCTCCCCCTCCTCATCCACCATCGTTTCTGTTTTCCTTCCTCTTACTCGTCTTACTCCTCATGGTCCTCTTCCACTCCGAGCCTATCACTCCACCCCCATCTTTGGCCTGATCCCTTCTCCTCACCCTCCCTCCTGATTATCCTGGTTTCTCCTCCCTTCGTTTCTCCTCCCCCCCTCCTCCTCCTCCTTCCTCATCCTCCTCCTTACCTCTCTTCCTCCTGCCCCCCCTCCCGGAGACAGCCTCACCCACGCCGCGCAGAGAACTCCCCCGGAAGGGGAATGGGACCAGACCGTGGCCCGAGGATCCCAACGCGACAGCCCTGCAGCCAGCAGCGGCGGCACACCGGGGGAGGCGCAAGGCAGCGTGGCCCCAGGGGAAGCCCGGAGCAGCGCGTGGCGGCAGGACGACGTGGCCAGGCACGGGGCCACGACAGCCGGAGCGACACGGCTGCACGAGGAGCGGCCCGAAGGCCGGGCCCGGCGGGCGGCGAGGCCGCCAAAAGGGAGAGCGGGAGCGCCCCTGCCGCCCACCGTCGCGGCCAGCGCAGCCCAGCCCAAGAGCGGTGGCGGGGGCATCTCTGGCCAGGCAGGGCTGGGCAGCCAGTGGGGCCCGCTCGGCCCCCGCGCGAGCCGAAGGGCGCCAGCCCCGCCAGCGCCGTGGCGGGGCCCCTCCTCGCCCCTCAGCATCGCCGCCGCCACCGCCGCCGCCGTCGTCGTCGCCGCCGCCGCCGCAGCCGCCGCGTTCGTCGTCGTCGTCGCCGCCGCCGCCGTCGTCGTCGTCGAGAGCCCTTCGGGCGCGGCCCCGTGAGCCGACCCCCTCCGTGCCGAGCCCCTCGAGCGACGACCCCCCCAGACCCTCGGGGCCCGCCTCGGACCGCCTGCCCGCGTCCTGGGTGGAACCGAAGGGAGGTCCGTCCACCGAGAAGAGGCCACACTGGCCAGGCAAGAGGTGCTGATGTTCGATGGTGGGCCTTAGGCGGACAAGAGTGCACTGGCTATCACTGTCGGTGATCCATCCTGCATCTTGCGCCTTTCCTCTTCCAGATCATTTGCAGTGCATTCCATACTCGTCGAGAGGGGAGGTCGTCACGAGAGGGGTCGGTTTGCTGGTTAGGACGCGTCGGCCACGCCGCCCCTAACCCTAAGGTTGGGCGCGGATCCGCTGGCTGCCAGTCCCCAGGAGCCCAGCGCGCCCTCGTGTGCAGCAGCGCGATGCCGCCAGAAACGGCACAGCCTGGCCTGCTTGCACACCTGGACCGGCGGGGACTGGCTATGGCAAAAGTCTTGCCAGATCGAGTCCCCAGCGCACGCGTCTTCAATCCCAGCAACTGTTGGGCTCCGCCAACGGCTAGGAAGGGACGCGTGGATCATTTTTTCTCCCTCAAAATCAATGTGCAACGCCAGATCGCATTGAATGCGATTTTTCCATAAAAAAAAGAAAAGGCGCGCATAATCCACCAAGGGCGCCAGCAAGGGAAAGCAGCCCAAGGAATCTCGCAAAACTAGCGCCCGCGTTCCGCTTGAACTCCAACGGGAAAACAAACCAACAAATCATCAGCCAATACGACGTGCTACAAGTCAGCCCGCGGCCCGAGCCCACGGCAGGTCTGGGAGACCCAGGAGGGGCGCCAGCCGCTCCCGCCAGAGGTCGCAGCCGCTCTGGCAGGCGGCGCTTCTGACGGCAACCGACAGCGCAGCACAGGTTGCGACAGAGCCTGTCAGGCAACATGTGCGAAAGCGCAGTCGAAATCGATGGTAAGGATGGGTAACCTTCCCAAGGGTACCCACCGGTGCACCCTTCACTCATCGGTAAGGGTACCCAACCTGGGAACCTGGGTACCCTTGGGAAGGTGGTAAGGGTGGGTACCCTTGGGAAGGCAAGGATTGTAACCGCTCGGTGGTTACCAAGGGTAGACGTCGGTGAGGCAGCACTCACCTACCCAAGGGTCCCCAACCTTCCCAAGGGTACCCATCCTTGCCTCATCGGTGCATCCTTAACCAGTTCCGACGGCCAGCCTCTTCCGAAGAGCTTCGGCATGAACGTCATAAGGGCCGCGCCCGTTGCCCCGCAAGGTCACGGCGTCGGTCGGCGCCGCGAGGCACGTCAAGCCGAGTTCCAGGCGGGCTGCCCGCCGCGTCGCGCGGGCCCCGCCCCAGAGAGGAGCCTCCACATGTTGGCCCAAACTGCCACGTTCCTTTTCCCTCCTCCTCCTCCTCCTCCTTTCTCGTCCGTCCTCTCGCGCTCCTCCTCTCATCTTCTGCCCTGCGCCTGCCCTCTCGTCCCAGGTCCCTGCCCCCCCCCCGCCTTCAGGGGCCCGCGGCACAGGCGCTTGAACGAGTTGGGGTAGTGGTAGATGTAGCCGTAGAGAAACCGCTCTATCCCCAGCAGCACGAGGGCGACCAGCCAAAACATCGCCCCAGCAGCCTGCCGGGAGGCATCGCGTCGGCGCACCGAGGGGCGGGAGGGTGGCGGGAAGGCGTCGGGGAGAGGTGGGCGGGAGGAGGGGGCGGAGAACAGGAGCGCGGGAGGAAGAGACGGGCCGGGAGTGGAGGCGGAATCGTGAAGGGGAAAGACGATGACGATGATCATGATGATGATGCTGATGATGGTGTTGCTGCTGCTGCTGATGATGATGATGAATGATAGTGATGATTGTGACGATGATCATGATGATAATGATAATGATAATGATAATGATAATGATAATGATAATGATGCTGCTGATGATGATGATGATGATGATTTTGATGATGATGATGATGATGGTGGTGATGATGATGATGAATGATAGTGATGATGATGATGATGATGATGATGATGATGATGCTGATGCTGATGCTGATGCTGATGATGATGATGATGATGATGATGATGATGATGATGATGATGATGATGATGATGATGATGATGATGATGATGATGATGATGATGATGATGATGATGATGATGATGATGATGACGTCGGGGGGGGGTCGGGAAAGGACCGGACAGGGACGCAGGAGGACGGGGGAGGGAGGACGAGGGGCACGCGGAGGCGCCGCGGGTACGACGACGAGACGGGCACCTCCGCTCGCCCCCGCGTGGCGCGGCTGCCGGGAAAAGGGGGGGACGGGGGAGAGGTGTCGCGCGGAGGGCCCCGGGCGCGAGCCGAAACGGCTCGGGGGACGCGCGCCATACAGAAGAGGCCAGTCCACAACAAACCTTCCACAAGAAACCAAGCCCTGAGACCCCAGGGCGTCCAGTGATTCTTGATACGGGATCGACACGCCTTCCCCAGCAAAAAGATCGAAACCCATCAAACCCAGCGCACCCTGGAGGCAAGCTGGGTGTGTCTTGGTGTAGGTTCCATTGTACCCGCTGGCAGCGGAGAGGTCGAGCCCCGCAGCGGCTCGCCGGTGTGGTCGGAGCGGCTTTGCGCCTCTGGGCGCCGAGGCCCCAAGAGACCCTGGCGCTGCAAGTCTGCTCGCAAGCGGCGTTTTTCGACCCGTCTCGGGCCCCGAGGTCCTCCGAGATCGATCCGGCTCGAACAATGGCGCGCGTCAAAGACGGGGCCCGGGGCTCTGGCCGTGATATCTTTTGAGGCTGCACCATTTGTTGTCGCGTCGGAGCTCCGTGGACGACGAGGAGCTCCTGGAAGCCCCTCCAGGGGGGCCGTGCCTCACCTCCCCCACCCCAGGGCCCGGCACATAAGGGAAGCCCATGACAGCCCAAGAGGGCCCAAGGGAGGCTCCAGAAGGCCCCCAAGACAACCCCACAAGAGACCCCGTGGAGCCTCTGGACGGTCTACTCCTGCAGACGGGACACGCTCGGCCGTGCCCGTGAAAACCCGACGCAAGAAACGCGCTCCGCCGTGCCCAGGAGCGGCGCCGCCTTGTTCAGGAAGAGGTGCAGGGCGGCTCGAGGGCTCCTCGGGCGGGGTCTGGTGCGCCGAGGTCGGGGATCTGCTGACCCGGCTCAATGCAAACCCGGGCCAGTCAGCCTCTGCAGGATCCTGCAACATCCTGCAGGGTCCTGCACCTCAGCCCAGGTCAGGGCGCCCCTAGCTCTGCAGGATCCTGCACGCTCCGGCGCTCTGACGGACCCCCGCTTGCAGTGACCCCCGTCTCTTGAGCCCCGGCGAGGTCGGCGGCCTGCAGCGCCGGCCCCCCGCGCCCAGGAGCTCAGAGGGCGCACGTGCGCGGCAAGTGCGCGCGGCAGGTGCGCGACCGCGCGCGAGCGGCGCGGTGCGCCCCGAAGCCTGCGAGCACCGCAGGCGCAGTGCGCCCCGAAGTCTGCGAGCACCGCAGGCAAAGGCGCGCGGAGGCGTGTGTGCACGTCCCGCGCGCTGCGGGCACGGCACGGCAGAGGCATCGCTCTCTTGTCGCCTCCGCGGGGCTCCGCGTCCGACTGCCTGCCAGGACCACCCCAACCCAACCCGAAGACCCGAACTTCGGGTTGGGGGGGTACGTGCTTCAGATGTGTGTTTCCAGTGTTCCTCGACCCCCACCCCACGGGAAATGGAGGGCAGATCGGGACCCTCGGGTTGGGTCGGGGTGGCTTGGTTGGCGGTGTTGGGCTCATGCGCGGCCAGAAGCGCTGCAGTCGGCCCATATCCTGAGAACGCGCGGTAAGGGTGCAAGGGTCTCGGAAGGCCATTTCGAAGCTCTTCGAGCGCGGCGGGGCCATCGAAAGTGGCCAAGGATGGACCGAGGAGGCAAGGATGCAAGGGTACCCTTGGGAAGGTTGCCCGTCCTGACTATGCGGGATGCCTTCAGCATGGCAGGGGCATCGATCTTTTGACGCCTCCTCGGGACGCCCTGCCTCATGCGCGGCCAGCAGCACTGCCCCCTGCAGATGAGCTACGACGCGTGAGGTGGAGAAAGGAAGCCATGCACTTTACTATATATGACGAACCAACAACACACACACACACACACACCCATACCCACAGGGGGATCGGAGAGGGCTATGGGTGCGTATTGTCGGATGGGGGTCCCCGCTCGAACGGGAGCGTTCCCCAGGATCCGACAACCCGCACCTGTACCCATAGCCAGTCCTCCTCCCAACGACCTCCCTATGGGTATGGGTGTGTGTTGTTCGTTCGTCAATATACAGGTCCGCCTGCCCCCACACGCTCATCTCAGCGGCAAGCTCCGTGACGCCGTGGAGCGCTATGGAGGGCACCGGAGGCGACAGGAGGCCAGGCACCCGGGACCCGACCCCGTCGCCCAGGACCGGGCCCTCCGAGGCCAAGTGAGGCCCCCATGTGCAGCCACCGCTCGGGTGACGAAGGGAAGCGCCAGAGGGAATCGGGTACGCGATGCCATAGGGCACAGTGGTATGCGGCGCGAGGGGACAAGTTTCTGGCAGCATCCAGAAAAACTCATGATCATCCCGACCCGTCCCCCTCATCCTTCTCACCCTCGCCATCCTCGTCCTTACCTCCCTCCTCACCCTCCTCCTACTCGTGGTCCCCGATTGCGCGGCGGCATCCCAAAGAAAAACGAGTCTACAGGTCTGGTCTGGGAATCTGCTGCCGTGCCTCTGGACACACAGTGGGCGTCCCCTCAGGACCTTAGCCTAATACCTGGAGCCTCAATCCTCAGTCCTGTCGGGGATCTTTCGACCCGGGTCACTCCAGACCCGGGTCAGTCAGGCCTTGCAGAATCATGCAAGATCATGCAAGATCCTGCACCCAGAACCGGGTCAACGCGAAGGATCATGCAGGATCCTAGGGGGTCCTGCACCCAAACCCGGGTCAAAGCGACCCTGGCCCTGCAGGATCCTGCAAGATCGGACGCTCTGACGGACCCCGTTTGCATTGACCCCCGTCTCAAAGCTCCCGATCCTGAGGCTACGACTCCGAATTCTCCAATCTGCCGGGGCACCCCGCGTGCCCCCAGGGGCTCCGGGAAGGGCTCCCGCCTGAATTTTCTTCGGGACCACGAGGGCCCCAAGAGTGGCCAGAAGGGCCCCAAGAAGCCCCCTATGACGGTCCAAGAGGGCCCCGAGTCGCCGAGCGATCACTCCAAGACGCTCAAGATGGCCCCCAGACGGTCCAAGAGGCCTCCAATACGCCCACAGAGGCCTCCAGGAGGCCTCCCAAGAGGGCCCCAAGAGGCCAACATCATTGTTTTCTGTGATTGAGGTTTCTGGCCCACTCGTCTTTTCGGCTCACCGACGCTCCAAGACAGCCCACGAGGCCCCCAAGACCGCCCCTAGACAGCCCAAGAGGCCTCCAAGAGGGCCCCAAAATTGCCCAAGAGGGCCCCAAGATGGCCCAAGAGGCCTCCAAGAGGGCCCCACAGTGGCCCTAAGACGGCAACAAAGTGGGCCCAAGAGAGAGAACGCAATGCGAAAATCCTAGCCTTCCGCCCCAAGAAGCCCCCAGGAAGCCCCAAGAGGCGCCAAGGAGGCTCCGAGAGGCCCCCAAGAGGCCCCCAAGAGGCCCCACGAGGCCCCAAGATGCTTCCAAGAGGCCCAAAAGAGCCCCCCAACGGCCCTCAGAAGGCCTCCAAACAGCCCCCAAGAGGCCCCCGAGAGGCCTCCCACGAGATCCCAACGAACATCCCATGGGTGCCCACAACCCAAGGCACGGTGGCCGGATGGGTCGAGGGCCACCAGGTCCGCCGCCCCCTGTCGATTCATCGCAGGGGTGCCTGGCGTGCTAGACGATTTCGGTTTTGGTTTTGGCTCTTCTCCACAAGAACTCCCCCTGGGGCTTCGGCCCGTCCCGCCGGCCACAGGAAAGGAGCACAGTTCCTAAATGTTTGGCTCAAGATGGCCCAAGATGGCCTCCAAGATGGCCACGTTGGCCCAAGATGGCCTCCAAGATGGTCCAAGATGGCCTCCAAGTCCGCCCAAGATGGTCCAAGACGGCCTCCCAGACGGCACAAGAGAGTCCAAGACGGCCCAAGGCGGCCCAAGAGGCCCCCAAGAGGCCTCGAAGACGGCCCAAGAAGCCTCCAAGAGGTCCTCCAGGAGGGCCCGAAGACGCCAAAATCATTGATTTTCCTTGGGTGTTTGAAGGAGTTTGGCATTCGTTTCTTCTCGGCATTCCGACGACCCAAGACGGCCCAAGAGGCCCCCAAGATCGCCCCCACAGCGCCCAAGAGGCCTCCAAGATGACCTCAGGACTGCCCAAGAGGCCCCCAAGACGGCCCCAAGAGGGCACAAAGACAACATATGAAGCCTCCAAGACGCCCAAGATGGCCTCGAAGGCGGCCCTGGAGCACCCCAAGAGGGCCCCAAGTCGGCCCAGAAAGGCCCCCCAAGACAGCTTCCGACGGCGTCAGACGGGCCAGGAGCCCACCAAGATAGCCGAAGTTGGCTCGAAGCTGACCCAAGAATGCCGAAAAAGCCTCCAAGAGGGTCTCCAGGAAGGCCTGAAAAGGCAACAAACACTGAGTTTCCAGAGGTTTTCGAAGGATTTTGACATTTGCTTCGTTTCGGCTCTCCGACGGCACAAGACGGCCCAAGAGCCCCCAAAGATCGCCCAAAGATCGCCCAAGAGGCCTCCAAGATGGCCCCAGAACGGCCCAAGAGGCCCCCAAGACGGCCCCACGAGGCCCCCAAGACGGCCCAGGAGGCCTTTAAGACGCCCAAGATGGCTTCCAAGACGGCCCTGGAGCATTCCAAGAGGAAGTCGGCTCAGAGAGGCCCCCAAAACGGCTTCCGACGGCGTCGGACGGACCAGGGGCACACCAAAACGGCCGAAGATGATCCTAAGATGGCCCAAGACGGCCCAAGAGCCCTCCAGCCCTCCAAGAGGGCCTCCAGGAAGGCCCGAAAAGGCCAAACACCGTGATTTCCCATGAATGTTTGAAGGATGTTGACATTTGTTTCGTTTCGGCCTTCCGACGGCCCGAGACGGCCCACGAGGCCCCCAAAAACCACCCCAAGAGGCCTCCAAAGCGCTCAAGATGGCCTCCAAGACGGCCCAGGAGCCCTCCAAGACGTCCTCCGAGAAGGCCCGAAAGGGTTAAAATGGCCTCCAGACGGCCAAGATAATCTTCAAGATGCCCACGTGTTCCCCGAAGGCTTTCCAAACCGATTCGGGGAACACATGGTCCGATAGCTTGGCAGGTCTGGCCTCAACGTTCGGCCACATAGGCGCTTCTAAAAAGGCAGGGGACGGCGGTGATTCGCCGTAGGCGTCTTCGATATGTAGAATCAACGTTCTGCCCGATGGTCGGCTAAGCACCTAAACTACGCTAAACCTCCTAAACTACAGCAGAGCCTCCTAAGTAGGCTTTCTACAAGGTCTAGCCAGCC